AGAACTAGAAAATGTATACCAATGCATATATATCATGTATATTCAAAACAAGTTTAGGTGATCCTGGGGATCGAAATAATGTCATGTGAAAGCTTAGAAACAGTCACTTTAAAGGTACTATGTCCCTTTTGCAGCCAACCTCAAATTCTGTAGAACTTTGCAGGAATTATGAATATGTCATGTATATCCTATCTGTGAAATTTAAACGTTAGCAGTGTCCTAATATTCAAATTATGCAAGGAAACCCGTTTACTTGCTACTGTCAGACACTATTGAGTGACAGACTGGCCTTTTTCTTCTTTGGTAATAACATACATAAAATGACCTGTAAAAGGTACATGAGCATTTGTCTACACCAATAGCCCACTTCTTGTGATGGCCTAAATTAAACGGATTGAATCATTGCGCAGCATAAAACGTATGACCATTCGGTACAATGGTCTGAATATCAAAACTATTACTTATTGGCTTTATAGCTCCTATTAAGTCGATTTTACAAATAATAGTCTTTATTTTCCCACTTAAAGACATTTGCACGCCCCACCTTTTTAGGGAAGTTCTAAATTAGTATTATCTTTCAAATGGCGTTGGAATTTAACCTTTTCATTTTTTTTTTTGGCCTGCAAATGGGACATAGTACCTTTAAGATCACTTTAAACAATAGAGCACTGAAGCACGAAACAGATTTTAGTAATCAAAAGGATTTAAGACCAAAGTAACGCTTGCATGTAGCCTGAACCACATTTCGTGCATCAGAATAATCTTGGTACATACAGATTTTGACGGGACTTATTTAAAACCCTGGTTTTCATTCATCCAAGGCAGAAACATTATGAACAGGAAAGAAGTAACCCTCTACTTTAAAATATATTCATAGTTCACACTAATTATTTCTTATAATTATGAGCTACTTAAGACGTTAAATTGGGTTTAATTTTATTGATACGCACTATATAACATCGCTTAGCTTCTCGTAGGAAAAGGCATTAAAATATTCTCTGCAAAAATTTGACAACATTTCGACAGAAAGAATGAAGAAAAAATACATTGATTGAAATAATGTGTTATTTTGGTCACGCACACCAGTTTTACACGAAAGAAATCTGTAACGCGAGGGCGATAGGTGCTCAAAAGCAGACTGTATACAGGTACATTACAATGGAAACTGCAGGAGTTAAAAAAAACCCATGCATGTCTGAATTTGGGCATATTTTTTCATTTAAAAAAAGGCGATATTCAGGCTCGCAAAAACCACTGGAAAAGAAACCGGATATCTATAAAAAAACAAATTTAAAAAATCGAAAGGAGGGCCTACCACCGTAGGCTAAACACTAAAAGCTTCATAAGCTTCACGATCGTGGTCATAAAACAGTTGAAACCAGTTAGATTTTCAACTGGTATCAACTGGTACCAGTTGAATCCAATCGGTGGAACTGGAATATGTGCCAGTTTATTTTACTGGTTTCGACTGGATTCAACTGATACCAGTTGAAACCAGTTGACACAACTGGTAAACTTCACAAGTCATGCACCAGTATATCCCAGTTGAAACCCATTGACTCTACTGGCACATGCTATAAACAAGCTATTTTTTAGAACTTTAGAGGGCGCTCTTTATTTTATGCTTTTAGCATTAATGCGTGAAATTCAGCATGGCTATGAGCAATTATAAGATTAAAGGTACTATGTCCCATTTGCAGACCAAAAAATGAAAAAATTGAATTCCGGCGGTATTTAAAAGATAATATTTATTTAGAACTTCTCTTAAAACGAAAGGGCTTGAAAATGTATTTTAGTGCGAAAATAACGACCGTTAGTTGACGAATCGATTTTAAGACCCTTTTACCGAATGGTCGAACGTTTTGTGCTGAGCAAAGAATCAATCAGTTTATTTTTTGCCATTACAAGAAGTGTGTTATTGATGTAGACAAATGCTCATGCACCCATTACAGCTCATTTTATGTAGGTTATTACCAAAGAAAAAAAAAAGTCAGTCAGTCTCATTCAGTTGCGTTTGACAGAAAGTAAACAGGTCTCCTTACATAATTTTAATACTAGAACACTGCTAACGTTTGCATTTAGCAGATAGAACATACGTGACATATTCATACGTCCTACAAAGTCCTACTGAATTTGAAGCTGGCTGCAAATATCATAATTATTATCATTGATGTTGTTACCATTTTATCTTTGTAATTATAATCATTGCTGTTTTTATATGATTGTTAGGAAACAAGGCCTTGGCCTTACTTCAGTCCGATTATATACAAATTGGTATTAAAAGGAACGCAACAATGTATACTTTTAAATACGTGTACATACCTGAAGGAATAGTACTTGTTTTCTAATTTCACAGATTTTATCCTCGTCTGTCTTGGTCAGTTTGCCTGAATCTAGAATGTTTTCAGGGTCAAAAGCTACGTGTGAGAAGAGAGAGACAAGGAGATGGATGCGTTTTGATAACAGAAGATCCATATGATGAGATAGAGACAGAGAGAGTGGAGCATGGATAATTAAGAGAGAGAATGAAAGGTAGAGAAAAGGAATAAGAAAGAGGAAGATAGAGGGTGTGGGCAGGGACTTGTCCCTGGTGTGGGGTAGGAGAGGAAGAGGGATGTGCGCATAGGGATAGTGGAAGATACAGACGGTCGGATAGAAGCAGAAAATGAGACAAGGGAGAGAGAGAGATAGAGTGTGTGTGTGTGTGTGTGTGTGAGTGAGAGAAAGAATAAACACAATTTCAATTGGTTATCAAAGTGATCAATTATTTCGATCAAAATCTTGTTTAACTTTGACAAGTTCTTGGTACAATATTATTGTGACCGTTACCTGTAATATCATGAATGTCATATTAGCTGAAACATAATCCTTATTACAGAAAAAACAAGGAAGAAAAAGTATCAACGAAAATATAATACATTATGTTAGTTAACATTTACGTAGAATCAGAGGGAGTTGCTTAATATCAAACATACATAATTATCAGCCAGCTTGAATATATATATATATATATTACAAAGTATAAATTTCTCCTTGGTGTTCGAAAAGATACACACAAAGACAAGAGATGATAATACTCCGAACACGAAATATGGTTTAATAAATTGTCGCTCAATGGACCTTTCAAGTAATTTTTTGTTACCATTCTTTTCCCCTCCATATGGATTTTACTGATTTTTATTTCCAGCAAATTAACAAACAAAATGTCAATATTTTCATTGTACATTGAAATATGTTATTGTTATGCATCAATATATTCACATCTTATCCACCTTCTATATCTTCCTCTGTCCTATCCTACACAATATTTTTGAAATGTATTATTAGGTCATCTACCCCATTTCGGCAATTGTGTACAAGACATCAATGGTAGAAATTTACAGTGATAAGGAGCATAATTATATAAATGAAATCCGCCCAGAAACCTCACCTTCATCTTGCGGACCTTCCTTTGCAACAGCAACGGCTTGGGTAACTCCGACAAGACACAGACATGAAAATAGAACTAGAGTGATGACAAAGAACGACTTCATCTTGAAAAGTGTGTTGATAGATTTCTGCAATCACTTTGATGAGAAGATGAATGCTAGGTGATTTCAACTGTCCAAGAAGCGGGTTTGCTTCGGTATTTATACCGCTTTAACACGTAAACCCCTCCAACTTTTTTCCAAATTTGGCGACAAGGAGGGGCCAGAGCTAGTTCGGCACAAGCAATTGTGTATTAAGCAGAGATTTTATCAAAGTATCTAGAACCATTTCATTAATGTGTATTAAGCTGAGCGCAGAATAGGCTAGCTTGACATTCAAATTGTATGGCAAAATGTGAAAGGGGCAAGGTTATTTCTTATGCAGAAGTACACGTAGACAGTCACCCTTTCACATGCGATCCCTAAAAATTGTTTGTTATGATGGCTCAAGGTGACTTATGATTAATTTCTATGTCTATTTTGTTTGACTCTAGCTGTCCAAACAAGACCAATTTAATAACTAACATAGCCTTGGAAGTAGCAAGGTCGAGTGAAAGATTTGTCAGGAAGTTATCCAATCCAATATGGACCCGCCAATATCCAGCTGCCTACTCAAAGGTACTTATGGATGAGACTTAGAAATGACTGACTAATGTCGTCCATGATTCACCTTGAAAGGACTGGGGTTGTGGCTAATTGTGTAATGAATGGATGTGGGTTTTAAAAGTAAATCAGGGTTTCTTAGGGAGGGGCCCAAATTTAAAATCAGTTTGAAATTTAGTGGTAGTGAGCACTAATTTGTTCTTCTTTTTTTCTTTGCTCCCGAAATTTGGAAATCGCGCCGCCCAATAATTCGCTAAGTAGGGGTGGGGGGATTGTGAGCACTAATTGTTTGTTTTGGCTCTTGAAAATTCGAAAAATGCACCCCCCCCCCTCCCCTTGGGCGCCAGGGGGGGCATCTCCAAAAAAGGGTAAAAATAAAGTGTTTTTACACGCCGCCCCCCCCCCCCTGGATCCGCCACTGGGTCACAATGTTCTCCCTGAAAGAGCGAATGTGTTTTACTGACTACACTGAAAATGATCGTGTTGTTTTCAGGCAAACTGGTATATAGTTTGGTTTGGCTTGGTTTACGGTATAAAAAAAACATATTAGTAATTATGGTAATTATTTTACAATAATACAGATGGATCGTTCTATTCAGAGCCATTAATCTAATGGATTAGAAATTGTTATAATTAAAATAAGCCAGTGAGCTCTGTTAAATTAACCATCTAGATCATTCCCAAGTTGTCACTCTGTAGAATGATAAACCGGTAATCAGGATTTAAAGATTTCCCCTTATTTGAGCATGACCACGCATAAATGGAAAGACCGGATATGAATGGACTTAGTAACATAGTTTTTAAAACAATTTCCATAAGCAGATATGATTGCTCTAAAGCAAGTTCCCGTCAAACCTGTTCTCTCACAACCGTTTTCTTCTAGCATCATAGACAACAGTAATTACATCTCAACACCTTTGAAATTATATAGACACTGTCTGTTTAATTCAGGTTGATTAATGTAAACTCTTATAATTGACATAATCATTGAGCGATCAATGAGTTTCGTATCACACTTCTGTGAGATTGAATACAAAGAACTATTCTTTCCTGAAGGAAAAAACAATCTATCATGAAATTCAATATGTATTTACAACATTTAGAGAACCATCGACAAATCAGGCCTAATTTTACATGACACTTTATCCATGCTGTATGTATAAAACTAGGGTTTACATTTTATTACTGGTATGTGTCTGAAACTAAGGTGTACATTTTATCACTGCTATGCGTATAAAACTAAGGTGTACATTTTATCACTATTGTGTGTTTAAAACTAAGGTGTTGTCTTTCTATGAAACTAAGTTTTACACTTTATCACTAGTATGTGTCTGAAACTAAGGTGTACATTGTGTCACTGTTGTGTGTATGAAAATAAAATGTTCTAAAACCATTAAAAGAACTGACAAGTTTGTCAAACTACACGAAATGAAGTGGAATGTAATAGTAGGACTTCAGATAGTACAGACAGCGCAAGTAATTTCGTAACCATCGATGTAGGATCCACAATCCAAGCCCCCACCCACCAGACACCGGACTTCTGTCATATACAACAGCGCACCATTCTCATTCCCCATGGTACCCGCTTTAGGAACCATCTCTCGGTCCACACACACAAATTCCGATCTATTGTGTTCGTATTTCTCTGCCATAAGATAACCAGCGTACTCTAAACGCCACTCTTGAGAAGGACACACGTTGCGGGCAGGAATCATAAGTTTCCTGGTGCGGTTAGAGGGCGCCCTACAGACTGCGCAGGTCGGAGTATGGTCATGCATTGGTTGAATGCGTGAAGGAGCAGTATGGACTTCGTATTCAGAGGTGTATAGTTTGGCTCGGTGTTCATCTTTGGAAGCTGTTACCTCGTCATAGATAGGCTCGTCCGGCATACAGAGATAATTTGAGCCGCTACCAGTCTGAATGTAGTGTGCACCTCCAATAGAACCTGAATAAATCACAAAGCAATGTAACGCAAACAAAGGTAAACCCACTTAAGTTCGAGTTCATTGAAATCTAAATTAAGAATGATGTAAGACTAATGACAGCCACTGAAGGCCACTCCGGAGAACGTTAAATAAATAATTTTCTTCCAGGTACAATTTTAAACCTGGGTGGAGAGTGGCAAATGTAGATACATATCTTGGCAAAGGACATTCGTAGGGGTCTGGGACTCGAACATTGAACCATATGATCTAATGCTTATACGACACCTCTACAGCCCATGACGGCATCTCAATTTTGCACTTGAGCTCATCCTCATGGTTGGTAATGGGATTACATAGCTCATTTGCCAAACAGTTTGTAAAAGGATGTCGTGGTCTAACGGTACGTCACCGGAATGATTATCACATGGTTCGCGGTTCGAGTTCCGCATTTAATGTGCGTCGGCAAAAATGTATCTACATTTCCCACTCTCCACCCAGAAGTAGAAAGTGTGAATCTGGTAAATATTAAATTATTGAATGCCTTTAGTGTTTTAGGGCAGCTGGGATAATGCCATGGTAATTTGTTATATTATTTGTAAGCACTTAGATAATCCGATAGGATTGGTATTTGCGCTATTTAATTGTAGCAATTATTACTACCTTAATATCAGTGAATGTAATGATCTCTTTGGTAGAGATTGAACTTTAGTTTAATACAAATTTTAATCGTGCTTACAATGTATAAATAGGGGTAACATCACAATAACTCAAATAGTCACAAAAAACTTGGCATACGTTTGTGCATTCACGTATTCCTCACCCATTCTTATGCACTTAAGTTTAAGCCAGTGACGCTATTAATGGCTTGTGTTTCGTTTGTGATGATGAAGAATTTTTGCACAACACCAGATTGATTATAGATTACACTAACATTGACTTTCGAATAAAATAACTCGAGGTTATTTCATACTCTATTGTGTATCCAAATACATGTATGTTTGAGATACGTTAAAGTGTTCGCACATTTCAATATGACAGACGGACAAGGATATTGAAATTGCCTGTGGTTGATTCTAAGAAAGTCCTTGCGATCATGTCAAAACCATGTTAAAAGTTTTCTTCCCCATGTAATATTACCCATCTGCACCAACCTGAATAGATGAGTTCTGCATCTTCGGGACATACATCGTTACCCCAGCGAGTATAGATGACACCAGGAAGACTTGTAGGGGTACCTACTGGACGTACTTGATCCTCATCGTCGCTGGGTGAAATGGGTTTTTCAGCTAAAATGTTAAACATTTAGAAATTTTATACATCGGAGTCTATAGGCAAGATTTATTTGATTACGGATATTTTCAAATGCGGTTAAGTTAAGAAAGCCGAAAAATCTATGAACGAACATATTGTTTGTGTAATTTTCCCGGCTTATCAATGACTAATTGCACGTTTGCTTTTTTTTTAAGCGGCGGCTGTTTTCACATGAGAATGTGAAAACAAAGCCCCCTTGAGTGACCTCCAACTATCCGTCTCCATATTATATTTATTTTTTTCCACATACTAAGAATCTTGCTCTACGATTAGTCAAAAGTAAATCACGTGATGAAAGATAGTTCGCCCATTATTGATGGGAGAAGCAAAAAGTTCGTTACACTGTGTAGATAGTTCTACTATCTACACAGTGCAACGCACTTTCACTGAAGATTATCCAAAAGCGCACTAAAACAGGCGTATTTAAGCGCGCATTAACAATGAGCGCAATTAAAGCAAACACATGCGCGCACCGTACCCTTAAGGGGCTGGGTTAAACTTTTAACTTTTTTGGTGTAAATTTGGGCCTGGTGTCTTTCATGTAGATGCATACACGTCCTTTTCTGTTTGTAGTTAAATTGTTTTAGATGTGGAATATAAAACAAATAATCACCTTTTGGTTTCAGGCGATGGCAGACTATCACTTCCTCGTTGATCAGAATGTATACGCTATCTTTCCTCAGCTTCGCTTCGGAAAGATAGCTACATCCAGATCGCCTCGGCTAGTTTGTCCCATCATCTTCAACAACGGTAGTTATTTGCTTAATAGTATTTCTTCATTGTGTAAATTGCCAAAGACTACACAGGAGTTACAATATCCGAAGAGTTTTTTCCAATAACTTGAATTTTTATTTCGCTAGCCATGCATTCCGGCTTGAATAATCACAATGTCACAGTTATGAATGTTCTACATCTGCATGTCGTGCCATATCGAGTCAGGTTGATGTTGTTATATGCCTACCTTGAAGACTTGTTGGTGCATCACGTCCGTCTCTCCCGTCCCTTCCGGGAACACCAGCAGGACACAAGAAACATTGACCTAAAGAAGAAACAGCATATATATTTCATATCCAGGTTAATGATCTGCGAGGCTTAAATACTTCTGCTTGCATATATTTCAAGTCAAATAGCTCTTTCTGAAAGTTTTTCTTAACCTGCATGATAATGACCTACTTCATACGTTCCATTGATAATTTCTTTTTTCTTTTAGTTGACTCATAGAGATTTAGTTTCGAATATTGATATCTCCTATTTTCGGACTTTGAAGGGACTCGCGTGGCCAACCAACATGACCTATGACCCTGGAAGTTCGTTTGGGCATTGAGGGCTCTCTTATTTTTCTATTTTCTTCTTGTTTACGCATCTATAAGCTTCAATGATGTCTATACTTTCGAGATGTACAGTTTACCAATACGGCACTGTCTAATACAGTGGTTTCAGATTTGATTTTGGAAATTTCGAGGTCCATTTTTTGATTATTACATGCTGGGTTTTTAGGCGCCTCAAGGCCTGCAATGTGTCGAATACCCAGTGCATACGATACATTATTTGCTGATGTAGGACTATATACACAAGCAACTTGTGGGGTCTAGCTTTTTTTGGCATGCCTAGTTAGAGTATCATCATTCGAAAGGTAAATGCAACGTAAACATTTGATTTCCTGGTGCACGCACTAATTTTCTTTGTAGGTGGGCCTTCGTGTACGATGGGGATTAGAGAAATCACAAAACTTGTGGTCTCTGTTTCATAAGACTTGTTATGAATTACTAAATTTTAAGCTATGCTAAATTCATTGTATTAGATTCGCTATTTTAATACGACATTTTTATAAACTGGGACCTGGATTGCATACCAGAATACATAGGCCATGAGTATGGTCCGAATGGGTTCTGACCCATGCTTGGCTGCTCGGCACCAGATGGTGGGAACGATGTCGGGAGAGTCGATGACGAGTCGAGTTCCCTTCGACGTCGTGTCTTATCAGGTTCTCCCAGCTCAAACTCGGTCTCGATAGAAGCAGGAATGTGAATCTTTGCCATCATTGATGGATTCTTCGCGACGAGCTCGAGAGTTAAGAAGGAACGGGTGATCTCAGCAACGGATTCCTACATGATTTGGTAGTTGAAAAGTTAAGATACAAGTTATAGAAAAGAAAATCACTAATACATACCCTCGATATTATTTTCTATCATAAAGGCACTGTGGTAAGGGTCTCTTCAAATCTGTTATGGAATTGTATTCTGGTTGTGCCTTCCAACCCTACGACAAGTTGCCAGGAGACTATTAACCACAAACACGTTAATCCATAGTCCGCCTTCAAGCAGTATTAGTAGATTTTGAAGATTTTAATCATTCATAAAAAGATGGACCAAAAGGTGGTCTGAAAGTGAATTATAAAATTGCACTGTTTTAGTATAACATAATCTCTAAAAGCCGTTAAAAATGAACTTAATGTGTGCAAGAATAAACAGAAAAAGATATTTGTACCGAAGTTGACATCGTATGCCTGGTATCGATTAACTGAGAACTCTCAAATCATGTGTAATGAAAATACACGACAGAAAAAAAATGATATAGGTCAAAATGTTCTTTTACAAAACAAAAGAGAGAGTTGTCCTACATACAGCCTTTTCACACACAGCTAAAATTCATCGTATCCAGAGATGATTTCTATAAACGTGTTTAACTCAACAGTTTTAAACATGTTTATAGAAAATTTTCCCAGTGTGAACATCGTTTATACGATGTTGGGATAGATACGAAGTCGCGAATCATACGCCCCTAAAAGCAGGCTGCAGATACGAAGTTCGTATCTAGAGAGCTTGACATTTTGTGTGTGAAAGGTTATTCGTGTTTAAACGTGTTTCAGACGTGTTTAAACTGGATGGAGCGTGCACTTTGATTGATATGGCATGACCTTCAATGCGCAATGGTACTACTGCGCATTTTACGAGCAGTAGTTAATCACAAAACGATTAACGATCGCACCGAAATTTCTGTGTGTGAAAGGCTCGTGATTAGTTTAAACACGTTTCAAACACGTTTATACTAATCATGCTTATAGAATTTTAGCTGTGTGTGAAAAGGCTGATAGACCACACTGTATAAAGTGAACCATCCATCAAGGCAACTAGCTTCTTTACTCGTTGAGTCGTGAAATGAGAATGAGAGATGATGATTCCTTGATGATATTGATTTTCCTTTTCCATTTTGGTTTCTGAAATATTTGAAAGATTGACGCTTGGTGTTCGGTACATAATGAGTGGACTAAAACTCGACCCACTTATGCGCATAACAAACAACGCATCGCGTACACGACGCAGTCGACTGGCGTGGTATTTCTCAATACTAAAAAAAGTGGGGCTTTTTTTATTTGGAACTAGAACCAAAGTTAAAAATCGAACGATTAACCTTTATATTAATGATGTAAGACTCAATCAATACATCATTGCAAATACCTGGGTATGTTTATAGATCATAATCTCGATTGGGATGAATATGTTAATTTTCATGAGAAAAGATATTATTAAAAAGCTGTATCTATTTAAAAGAATGAGGAACTATATATCTCAGAATATTGCACTTATGTTTTATAAAACAATATTTCAAAGTAAACTTGACTATTGTGATGTGGTTTGGAGAAATTTAAAGGAAAAATATTTTAAGAAGCTTCAGGTCCTCCAGAATAGAGCCTCAGAATTATATTAAAAGTTGATGCCAGATATTGTACAATTTCCCTGTATCAGCAGTTAAAGCTTGATTTTTTAGAAAAAGAAGACATAAACATGCTCTTTACATGATGTATAAAATTGCTAATCATAATTGTCCTAATTACTTGCTAGATTTATTTGAACTATAAAAATGTAATTGTAATATGAGAAATTCAATTAATAATTTGTTACTACCTAAATTAAAAACATGTTTTTAAAAAAAGAGTTTCAGCTATTTCGGTGCGAAATGCTGGAACTCAATCTCACCAGAACTTAAACGTGAGTTATCTATTATGAATTTCAAACGTAATCTAAATAAGAATATGGAATCAAGAGCCTTTAATGAGTAATCCCCGTCCCCTTTAAATGTTTAATATGTATTTTAGTGTATGATATATTTGTTTTGTATGTATTTATGTTATCATTATTATGTTGAATTTTGTTGTATATATGTTAATTTGCTATTGTATATTTTTATGTATATGCACGGCACTACGGAAGAACAGTCCGCGGGCTGAGATAGGCCTCCGTGCTTAAATAAATAAATGAAATGAAATGAAATGAAGTTCTCCTCGGGGGAATGATCCTCGGGGGGTAATTTTCCGGGGTGATAGCCCAGGGGTAATTGTCTTAGAACCTCTTTGCCCCACCTTTTGTCTACTTCGGGCAGGGTGTTATATTTTGACTTTATTTTGTTCTTGTACTCTTTTATCTCTTTTATTTTTATCTTCCCTTTCTTCTCCCTCTTCTACTTCTCCTTCTTTTCCCTCATCTTTTTTTCTTCTGTTTCTTCTTTTTCATCTTCTTTTTCTCCATCGTCTTCTTTTTCTTTTTTCTTCGTTTTTCCATTTTCGCTCCCTATTGCTTGTGTCTATACCTTCCCCCAGTCAGCCTTTACTCTTCCTCTTGAAATCTTTCCCACTCTTAATTTTGATAATTTACTTCGTATTTGCAAAGTTTTCTACTCTCTACTTTCTACTCTCGATATTTCCCGCCACGTACACTTGCTTCGTTTACCGTTCACTGCTTACTTAAGTCCTTTTTCTTTCACATGACTTCAGTAAACGCTATTTTATGCTTATTCTGATTTCTGTTTAATTTATGCTTCCAATTATTGTATTAAGTTATATTTCTCTCATTTATACTTCTTTATTTTTCAGATTCAATGTATTATGTTTGTTTTGTTGTATATTACATTATACGTTATTAATTTGGTTTGTAAACTTTAGTAATTCTGCTAAACGCCGCGATAACAGTTTTATTCAAAATGAACAATTATGAAGGAAAGAATGAATGAATAGTGGACTGTGCAAATTCGTGTATCGCTGAACCTTCATTTGAAATATAAAAATGGGAAAATCAACCATTATAGACTTATCTAAACTGATACCTTCCACTTTATAGTCTACTTTATTATTCTATTCTATTTTTTATCTTGTATTCTACCTTGATACGTTTTGTTATATATTCTACTTTATGTTCTATTTCTATATTTTATATTCTGCTTTATTCTCTATTTTATCCTTCTGGTTATCTTACTTTTATTTCAAAATCTTTATTCCGATGTTTCTTCTTTTCTCTTGATATTGTCTTGAAACTGTCACAAAACAATAAAAGTTTAATGACAGATTATTCAATTACTTTAAACTGGTTAATTGTTTTATGTTAATCATCCAGTACCACATAAACAAGCAAAACTCGAGCCAGATGCAAATAAGGGTAAGTTTAAAGACAATAATTCATGACGTATTGTCTATTGTCATGATTGTATTCTTTACTTATTTCTTCTTTATATTTTACTTCATTTTCATATACAGTATGTATTAAAACATTTCTCTCCCTCTTGATAATATTTCAGCAACGAATTGGTTTTTGAGGTAGATATTTTGGATGTAGTATAGCAATAAATCTTGGCAATGACGTATTACAAAGGATAATTGTGATTATAATAATAAGAAGAATAATAATGATCACTATAAGAATAACACCAATAATATTGTGGTACTGCTGACATTACTACTTCTTCTTCTAATTTACCATGACACATAAAACGTGATAGAGCTATGATCGACAAAAATGATATTGTCTTGAAAACAGTCAAAAAACATAAAAACTAGAACGAATAAGACATAATGCAATCATGTAAACAAATTTGTTTGTCCATGTTCATCCGCTGGTATCAAATTACTGAGCAAATCTTGAGCAAGATGCACATTAAGATAAACTTAAATACAATACTTTATGACATATTGTCTATTGGCATGATTTTATTCTTTACTTATTCTTCCCTAATATTCTACTTTTTGTTTAATAATATTCTGATGTTTCTTCATTTCTCTTAATAATATTTTAGCAACGAATTGAGAGTTTTGAGTGGACATCTTGGATGAAATACAGCAACTGAAAAAATCCTGGGCGCATGATGTATTGCGTAATATAACCAGGATAATAAGGAGCGGAATGATACCACTACTACTAGGGCTACTCCTACATGCACTACTACACTACGGCCATTGATGATTATGCTGATGATACTGAAGATACCAATGATATATCAATTATGATAGTGATTATAATAATGATAATAATACTAATAATCATCATCACCATCATCATCATACAAATTTAATCTATCTCCTATCCTCATTAGTTATACCATAATACACGGATTGGCATACTTTGTATAACATGTCACAGTGTCGTAGTTGAATAAGTTATTTCATACGGCTGGGCTTGTAACTAGGGTAAAAGAAGAAAGAAAAACACATTTGAAAGGAACATTCTGAAAAGAAACGCACCTTGAATGAAATTGTTTGCAAGAATGTCAACGCTGGAATGTTTTACTTTTTTTTAAATATCTATTTTCACTGATAGTTACCTAAAGAGCGTGGGTGCTTTAAAGCTCAAAGATGTATTTGTCGAATAGATTCTTTAGAGTAAAATGACAATGGAAAACTATTTGAAGTTTAAGCATGTCCAAATATGGGTATTACTTCGTTCCGCTTTGATACAAACATTCCACCCTAAATCAATATAGGAGAAAACTCAGACAGATAACTGATGAGAAAATGGAAACAGTATTTTAGCTTCTGTTTATGACACTTTGAAGAAAGAGCGTGGGTGTTTTGAAGCTTGAAAACATGTTTGTCGAATAGATTCTTTAGGGTGAAATTATAATGGAAAACTATTTGTAGTGTAAGTGTTTGTAACTGAAGTGAAAAACGGAAACAGTATTTTGGCTTCTGTTTATGACACTCCGGAGAATTGAGGGGGGCATGTCCCCCCCCCCCCCCTGAATTATTTGTAAAAGTGCCTGACAAAAATGTATAGCAAATACTGACTCAAAATTGCAACATACTTTTAAGCTCTGGGGGGGGGGGGCAAGAGTGCAAGGTTTAGACTAATATAAAAAAGCAAAAATGTTCTTGCTCGCTCGCTACATCTCCTCGCATAAACTCCTTCAAGATGTACTAGTAATTATTGTTGGAAAACTCACATTACGTCGCCCCCCCCCCCACCACACACACACACACACACACACGCTCGCACCCACAAAAAAAAACATTCAAAAACACACTCGCAAAATCATACATAAATATCGTTTAAACCCTTTTTTATTTTAAGTTTTACCTTCAATTATTTTGTTTGAGCCCGCCATCCTATACTCAAGCGTCGCTTACGATTGTGGTCTCCTGCACTTTTTCAACAGATAGTTTGGATAATAATTTCAATTGATGATAATATGTTATAGAAATATTAAGTTTTGTTACTTGATGTACATACGTAAAC